AAAACAGGCTGGTCTCACGTGAACCCAACCCTACATATATATATATATATATATATATATATATATATATATATATAGAAAGAGAGAGAGAAATCAAACACAAACTACTCATATTTGTATACATCGTGCAAACCACTTTCATCCATCGATTTTATTGTTTAATCTTATGAAAAAAAATTATGAATTTGTTTAATCTTGTGAAATTGTTTCATATAATATTTTTTTTTAATGAAGTTGTTTCATGTATGGTTATGAAATTATTTCATATAATATATACTTATGAGATTTTAATGAAACTGTTTTATATGTTTCTCTAAAATTAATATAATTAAAGATAATAATATCCATGATTAACACCATTCACAGTTAAAATGATTAACCCATTTCTCAAAATTACAAAAAAAAATGAACAGAATGAAAAATTATGATTGGTTGAATGAGTTTTATACAGTTTGTAAAAAAAACGTGGTTTGCAAAGTATCGTTTCTAATCAGTGAATTTTGCATAGTCGTCTTGTTAATTATCTCTTAAATTTTTAAAGATACAAAATCGGACAATAACTCGATAATATAACAATAATGTATTTTATAATATAGAATAAAATAATTATTTTTATTTTTCTATTAACTTGGATATCCAACCCGCTATGCGAACCGATTAATCCTAAAAAGACCACCCGTTTCACGGGTAACCTAGACTCAAGAGTCACTGCATTTGAACTTCATTGACCTTTGAAGTCCAAACTCAAATCAATCAGACACCACTCTTATGATTAACTATTGTATTATTGTTATCGATAATAACGGTTTTCGTTTTAGTGTTTTCAAAAATATAATAATCAATTGACAAAACTAATATAATAAGCTAAAATGTCATTAAGTCACAAATATGACCAAATTATAATATATGATGGAATATTTGGTAAGAAAACCGAAATATAAAAATCCAGATATTTTCAAGAAAATCTAATAATAATACATTTAATTAAAAGAACTTTACTCAAAACAGTCTATTAAAAAGAACATTGATTTTGAGGAAATAAAATAATATTATAATAATAATTTACTTATTTAAATATTATATTACTATTTATTAGAGAATTAAATAAATTAATACATAAATTAATTTTACAGCTAATATTCTACTAAACTTTATATATCACCGTCAACACCCCTTTCCTTAGACACAGAAAACCCTAGACACAAAAAACCCTCGTCAGTGCCCACGAATTCCCCACGGTTTGATTCATCATCAATTCACACGGACCCTCGTATAAATCTTTACCTCCATTTACACACTCATACCCAGCACATATTTTTCCTAAATCTTGGGTGTTTGACACCACTTTTCAATCCTAGTACTTATATATATAGAGATAGAGTAGATGTATGTATAAGTAGATGGCTGACCCTCCTCCTCCGCCCCCAGTCAACGTGTGTCAAGTAGACCAACCTCAACATCCTCTTTCTTTGCCTCTTCCCCCACCAGATAATCCTGCAAAACTCCAATTACCACCCAGAACCACCGTCATGACCACCTCTTCTTCTTCCGGTGGATCCCCTAACCGCCCTGGTCCGGCTACCACGGGCAAGCATCCAACTTATCGTGGGATACGAAGCCGAAGCGGGAAGTGGGCGTCGGAGATTCGTGAGCCGCGTAAAAGCAAACGAATTTGGCTTGGGACGTACCCCACACCGGAGATGGCTGCAGCGGCCTATGATGTGGCTGCTTTGTCACTCAAAGGCAGTGATGCGGTGTTGAATTTCCCGGATTTTGTGGGGTCATACCCGGTGCCGGCTTTGCCGGAGCCTGCGTTGATCAGAAATGCAGCGGCTGCTGCTGCTGGGCTGATGAAATCGTCCGCCGATCAGAGGGGTGGTGCGTTGGAGTCAGCTGGTGGTGGTGTGGACACTGAGCTACCGGCGGAGAATGAGTATGTGGATGTGGAAGCCCTTTTCGATATGCCGAATTTGTTGGCGGATATGGCGGAAGGAATGCTGATGAGCCCGCCACGACAGCCGGATGATCCGTCACTGGGGGATTCTTCTGATTGTGATAATTTGTGGAGCTACTAGCTAGCTAGGGTTTCAGTTTCTTCAATAAAAAATGGAAGATGGAGCAGAAAGAGGGGATCAAAGAAACACAATTGGAAAGAACAGGGGGACAATATCCAGAACAAAAAAAGACGTGCAAACAAGTAATATATATGCATGCATGATCATAAAAAAGCATGATTTTTTTTAAATATCATGATTGAAATCCAAAGATCTTAGGTAGATATATATATATACATATATATATAGGAAAATATAGAGGGTGTCTGTGTGAGTTTTCATTTTCAATCTTCAACATATAGACTCAAGATTTGAAGTTAAAGATGTTAATTAGGGATCATATCATCTCATCTTGGAGATTTTTTTTCTGTAAAAACAGTGGAAAGCATATAATTTCAATTTCCCCACAATCACATTCTCTTTTTTATAAACAAGTTTTCTTTTTAATTAGTGATAAGTTTGTTGGTGTTCATCATTTACTTTTGGTTGATATATGTGTGGAAGGGAGTGAAATCCGAGAACCTGATCAGTGTGGTTATATGGATTAGACTGGAGATTGATATCTTGTTTTTGTTTTTTTCAATGCGAGTTGATGGTACCTTTGTGTATACATTGAACCTGCAGAATGAAACTTATCACTACCCCATGGTAAAGTTGCTAATTAAGACTTACACTTGTCATGTAAACACATTGTTTTTTGAGTTTCACTTCGGCTATACGTTTGTCTAATAGGGTTCTTTTGGGCTCTTTTGAAGAGTTAAAGTCTATAGTACTTGTTATTCTGAAGCAATTTTTACTCTACTAGCCACATGTTAGACGATGTGAAACAATTTGTGTTGGAACCTTTCTTTTCTTCTCGATCAAGCACTCCAAAGTTATTTAATAGGGTTCGACATATTCTTGGACGTTGAAATGCTATCGCATCTTGTTGATGTCACAACTTCAATGTGAAATTGTTATATGCAAAGTTGGTCATAATTAATAACTTGATCCCTAAACTACATAAAGTTTGTTAGTTGTTGAGGTTCACTCAATGTCGATTTCCCTAGAAAACACTTCAATTCCCCCGGTTTTGCATAGCCGAAAGAAGGCCATCAGAACTCCTTAATTAAGCTTAACCGGTTGATATATGGCTTTCTTACCATATGCAAAAAAGAGAGATCCACAAGAACTAAAACCATTTACCCCTCTCCTCTTTTCCAAAAAGAACGAAATTCATTTTCTCGACTCATTGATAAACTAATCGATAGTCTTGTTCTTGATTTGGAAATACATAAAAAATAAGGTACACTTCAGTAACTATATATATTATCGTTTGTTCAAAGGAGTTGATCGATCAAATGACTTAAAGAGCGACTGAATCAATTAAGCCTCGGCCAAAGTCATCAGTTTGATCATATTTGGAGGTATCAACCATGGATGTTACCCTTTGTTTATATAACCTGCAAACTTGTATTTTGCATTGGTTTAGTTTCTTCCACGTCCATATATATAACAAACGGTTCTTGGCATCGAATTTGCAGGGGGAACCATAGTTTTTTTACTCCAAATCTGTAAGTAAAATAGCTTGATTTTTACATCTAAGAAGAAACTTCATCCCTAAATGTGAATTTTCTTTAATTTTTAATAGAAAAAAATGAAAACAATCAAATACCCAGATATGTTATCACCGATCCTTTAAGAGAACAATGATGAAGATGAGCATATTCCCTCTAGTGACTTATGTTTGCTCATAAACAAAAGTCTTGCTAAAATCATGGGAATGATTTCTTGGAATTTGATATAAGAAAAAATGACAGTTCAATGATGTGTTATAGTGGTCAGAAAACATGAATTATTTTACTGAAAGTGAAATGTCGATTTTTTTTTTGTTTTCATGAAAGATCATAAGATGAAGTGTCTTAGTCTTTAGATGTATCATTTTGTTCCTTTTTACTTACCCACCATGGACCAACCATCAAAGTACCAATCATCAAAAGGGTAACCACAGGTTATGTGTATCCGTTAAGGGATATCTTATTTTTACCGTTTTTTGAATCTTAATACTATCGAAACTCCTGTAATCATTTAAGTTTACATGCATTCCGTTGATGACTCAAGGCCATTTGTAGTCATCCGATAGTTACTTACTTAGTCAGATTATACACCGATGGTTAAAAAACCCAATCAAAAAGGTGTATTTGCTAATGCATATATGCTAATGCTGTGCGATATATTTAATTATTTATTGGGGTTTATCTTTAAATAATACTACTTTTTATATTTAAAGAAAAAGTAGTAGGATTAATAAAAGTAATAATGAACTTTATTGAAGAAAAAAAAAACCCTAATTAAGAAAGAAACCCTGTTCTTCAAGAAAAAAAGAGAGAAAGAAATCTCCCAAAATGAAATGAACTTTAATTTAACTTTAGCAAAACAATGAGTACCCTTTTTATTGGTCAATTAGTGTCGCCTCTACTTAACCAATTCAATATTTTATTCATTAGAGTATGTGTTAAATTAGTTTTATTATTTATATCAAATTGTATTTTTAATTCTTTCATATTTGAGCGAATTAAAAATTTAATTGTGTTTTAAATTGTATTTTTGACCTATCAAAACTTAGTTTATCGTAATTTTGATCCAGCTTAAATTGTATACCAAATTAAGTGTTCTTCGTCTTTATCTTGAAGCATTAGATGGAAAAAATTCAGGAAAAAAAACCCTATTAAACCAAAGGTACCCATTTTCTTGCCTTCAGCCTCATCACCCATTGTAGGATTTTTATAACTTAAGTTAAAACTTAATTAATGTAAGATACCAGTTATTATTTGTTTTGTACGTATCTAGACTAACAATTTTAAAACGCATCTAACAGAGAAGGTATTCAGTCTCTTATAAGACAACTTTATTTCCCCTCCCTAACTGATATGGGATTTTACAATTAAGAGTCCTTCGATTTCATGCACTTAACGAACAGATTGAATCACAACATCATAAGCTTCCACAGTTCAACAAATAGATTAAATATCGATCTTAGTTTCTACACATATACTAGTATACTTTTTTGGTGTTAAAAATCCCTTTGAATGTATAGTTAGCAAGTTTTCCCATGACCATAGTTAGAACCCACATCAAACTCCAAATTAAAAATTAACTTAAACGTGTAAAAGTAAAAGTCAAGAGAAAGAATGAGAGAAAACTGAATTCAAAGCACCAATACATGAGCGCTTGACTTTAAATTCAAATCTAAATCTATCTCGATGTGAAAAGGAGACAATTAAACTTATCACGATCTAATATAAAATTATTCAACTTTTTAACACTGATATGGCACTACGATAAATGAAATAGTTTTGAAAAAATATATTAAAATACTGATCGAAAGAAATCAAGAAAAATAATTCTTTAAATATTAATGGAAGAAAATTAAATGTATATATAGTGGATTAGGGTTTTGGTTTAGCAATTTGAATATACACATTATATATAATTATATAATCATAGTTGTTATATCATATATTCTTATCTCATCAATATGTACATTCTATATATATATATATATATATATATATATACACACATATACATACTAGAAGGATACTCGCGCAATGCAGCGAGATATATCTCGATTTCAATGTTTTTTTTTTTTTTGTCTCTGTCAATGTTATAATACGAATTTATGTGGTTTTGAGCAAACAATAATGTTTTTCTTAATAAAATATAAAATTGAAGATATTATAAAAATTAAAAAATATATTTAAGTTATCATTTTTTGTGGAATTTCTTTAATTCATTTTCTTTATTATAATTTAATTTAAGTTTAATAA